TGACAGTGAGATAGTGTGACATCTTTACTGGGCTAGTGTAGCTCATTCCTTACTTAACCATTTCAGATAAGAGGACTTTGTTCCCGAGCTCGTTCCGCAAGAAGATGGCGAGTAGATGCCTAAAGATTTTATAGTTTTCCTTATAGTATTCATTTCTAGTATTTACTTTAGTTAACTTATTCTTTCATATGTTTAATACGTTTTGGTTATTGTGTAAGGGATGTTAATCATAATATTTTATTTCGCTTCCGCACTTAGAATTTTTATATATACGTTTTCTTTTAATTTTCGGGGCGTTACAATTATGATATATAATTTCAAATTTTTTGGGGTGTTGTTGGAGATGTACTTTAAATAATCAATTAAATTCCAATATAGAGATATGTTGTCAGTTTCTTAGTCGTCATAGTCATCGTCTAAACAATTGTAGTCCTCATAATAGTTCAGTCATAGTCATTAGGGTCACATACATGCATGTACTTAGATTACTTTGTGTTATGACTTTCTTTAAATTAATCTTCACCTCAATATTTTATATTTCCTATGCTAGTGCTACTCTTCATTCTTTAATTTCTCCCTGTCCCCGGTTTGATATGGCTGTATTAGTATTTGTTAAAAAATATGCATGCTCAATATAATTTTGTACTATCAGAATGCTCTTTTTTCTTCTTTCTTTTCTTTTTTTTATACACAATTGAGAGAGGACAGAAGCATTGTTGATGTACTATATGTAGAAATTCAGTTTAGTTAGGAGGAAAATTAAGCTAGCTAGATACGCAAATTTGTTTAGATTTCAAGTGAGATTTTTGTATAGAATTTGATAAATATGGATTTGTTCTTTAGACTATAGAATTAAAATTTGGGATAATGGCATTAAGGAATAATATTTTCCTCAAAGAAAATCTCGATATAATCTGAATATCTAAAATAATTAATATTTTGATTAATCTGAAATTTAAATATAATTCTAAAAATTTTATTTTAGTCAAAATATACAATATTTTAAATAACTCAAATGTATTGGAAAATCTCTAACGATCATAAATAAAATTTCATGACGCAATTATTATGTTCAAAATATGGAAAAAAACTGACATAAATAATTTTCTAACTCAACAATCTGTGAATAGTTAACTAATACTCTATGTAAAAAGAAATGTACAATATATACATATACATATTTAAATATATACAATCACATAGAATAATAAATAAAGAAAAATATTTTTGATGGCTAATTTCAAACACTTTCAGCAATTAGTATTTTGAATTTCTTTTACATATATAAATACTCAAAAATCAATGATATAAAGTCTCTTGCTACTAAAAAAAATGTTACTAATATAAAACAAGGTCATCTTTAACTCCAGTGACACAAATTACAACATTAAAATTTTTTAAATGTTATAGTATGTTACTCTAGTATCTGTAGTACGATGTTGTAATTGATTCTTAATGACAATGACCAGTATTTAACCCTTATTAGTGGGATCACTTATTCAAAACCAATTTATACTTTTGCAATAACAGTTTAAAAAATTCATAAGACACAATATAAGTACTTTTTAAAAATGAAGATAAATGTAATAATACATTGAAACCACTTATATACCACTGTCAAAGTGTATAACACCAACATCCATGTGAAAAATCTAGTACTCAAATTTTAATTATTCATCTGCCTATATTATAATTAATTTTAACATATGATAGCGTTATCAAAATTTATTTTTATTAATTTTTATGTACAATAAATTATATATTTATTTTTGTGTTACATAAGAATCGAATCTTCAATTCTTATTTTTGTAGAGGAAGAGAAGTACTATTTGATTTAAAAGTCAAGTATTATCATGCTTTAATTATATTTAACTTTTAGTAGGATTGATTTCTATTAAGGTGGTTGGTAATGAAGTAAAGATCATAGAATTGGAACTATTGGGCCTTTGGCCCGATCATTAAGGGATGGCATCAGTTCCCATTAATGAAGAACACGTCTACTCGTAATTTTATATAAAAAGTTAACAAATTAGTCAAATTATCACCTACATACCTTTTTATCTAATCTGTTAACTTTTGATATCAACTATTTTCTAATAAAAATATATTGAATGTATTTATTTATTTATTTTTTTAATATGTCAATTTAGTGATATATAAAAAACTTAAGTTTAGTTACTTTATTTAAAATTAAATTTGCAGCCTATTTTATATATGGATTATAGAATTAGTTATATTGATATTTAATTGTAACATTTCATTTTCTCATATGATTGATTACATTAATATTTAATTCTAATTGTAGTAAAATTTTTAATTAAATAGTTAGCATAATTTTTAATTTTAAAAAATTCAATTACACAATTAACACAAGTACAACATATTAATAAAGTGGAATCTTTACTAAATAAAGGGAAGTAAATATGGTTAGTGACATTCGATGAATCATTTTTTTATCATTGTAAGTATATATATATATATAATCTCTCTAAATAAGACGCACACAACGAAGTTATAATATTTAAGAATACAAAAAGAAATAAAAAGGTAAAAAAATAAGAACACATTACATAAAAAAGTCGTGACACAATACATCCTTTATAGATAAGCGAAATTCATAGTTAATAAGTGAAATACAAAGTAAATCTTTATAAATCATATGGATGTTCCCTTGTTTTAATGTGTTAAAAACACAGCTACTGCCACCTGCATACCATTTTATATGAATGCTTGAACTTTTATAAATTTAATAGAAGATTAAAAATGTATGAGTTTGTATATGATTTGTTAACTCTTTATATAAAAGCTAACATTAATGAGGAACATGTATATCAAACAAATCATTGTATAACATTTTGGCATTCCACTTAATGTTGTAGAATGCACCATATCTTACCTTAAATAGCATATTCTACTATATTATAATGCTCCATTCCCCATTCCTTACTAATAACTCGCCAACCCTTGTCTCATTCTTTATACAACCCCTCTCGCTCCTTGGCCAGACACGACAAAACGTCCTGACTAGAAACAAGGTTAAACTTACCTATATCACTAATAACTTTGCAATATCAAAACTTGTGCAATCATTTACAACCCCTATGACTCGTAACCAGAGGTTTGGCATTCCCCTCTCGGAGCCCAACACGTATTGGCCTACTTCAAGAGGATCTCCGGGATGGAGTAGAATAAGAAGATAATGAATTAAAAGAGCTTCCTATGATAGATGATCACCAAGGAAACCGACAAACTAAAGAAGAAACACAAAGACAATCAGGAGAAGTATATCATGCATATAATTTTTCAAAGCTTTGTTTGGAAGCCCCTCCACCAACTCAACCTCATTGATCTCAACTGGGCTGGCTAATTAAACAAAACCTAAAAGAAATCCAAAAGAAGGTAGAAACACTCAGTAAATCACCTGAGCCTCAGTGGGCCACAAATGGAGGAGTGATGAAGGGTCCGGGGGAGACATCCTCTCAGATCAATGCGGATTCTTTATCACATAAGCTTCAGCAATTATAGTGAGGGTTCATTAACGTTATTAACTGCAAGCACAACAACAGCTCATTTAGTGTTTGGTAACGGGGACAAAGTGGAGATGATGGTGTTGTTTGATAAAGATTATATATCTGTGTGTATACGTATAAAGAAATACTTATTCTATTTGCTATTTAGACAAAATTGCTATTACATCACAATAATACGACATATTTAGCAAATTAAACAAGATACTGTCCAAACTGCTTAAAGGAGCTAGTTGCAAGTGAACACATATACTTATCATCAATGCTCTGAATTGGTAATATATATGTGACTATAATTTTTTTGTCTTTTAAAATATAGCGAACAAAGATAGATTATTCTATATATCTATAAATTATTATAACCCGAAATAAATTGAATGAAATAATTAAACAACATATTTATAATTTTAGCATATTTTTCCTGATACACGCATAATATTCATATTAATAAAAATATTAATTATTTGAGATATTTCGATTATATGGAGGTTTTCTTTGAGGAAAATATTATTCCTTAATGCCATTATTCTAAATTTTAATTTAAAGATTGGAAGAGCGTATCCATATGTATTAAATTCTATACAAAAATCTCATTTGAAATATAAATAAATTTGAGCAGCTAGCTAGCTTAATCTTCCTCCTATCTAGACTAAATTTCTACATATACTACATCAATAATGCTTGTGTCATCACTACATTATGTAAAAAAAAATAGAAAAGAAAAGAAGAGAAAAGGGCATTATGATAGCTTAAAATTACATTGAGCGTGCAGGGGGAGGGGAGAAATTAAGGAACGAAGAGTTGTACTAGTACAAGAGATATAAAATATTAAAGAGAAGATTAATCTGAAGAAAATCATAACACAAAGAAATCCAAGTACATTTATGCATGCGACTCGACGACTACGACTATGATGATGATAGTTACAACTATTATTATGACTACAACTATTGAGACAACGACTACGACGACTAAAAAATAGATAACATATCTTTGTAGTGGAATGTAATTAGTTATTTAAAGCAGATCTCAAACAACAATCCAAAAAATTTAAAAGTAAATATCATAATACTCGATTCCTAAGGGTAGTGAAACGCACTGGATCATATCAGTCCATTATTTTGGTTGTTCTTATTTGTGAATGACACCATCATCTCTACATATTCCCCGTATGTTAAATGAGGTTGTTGTTGTGTTTACAGGTTCATCCTGTCAACGAACCACGTCTGTAGTTGTTGCAACTTCTGCACAGGATGATCCTCCTTGATCTTAGTGAATGTCTCCCTATGACCCTCCATCACTCCTGCGCTTGTGGCCTCCTGAGGCTGAGGTGACTTCCAGAGTGTTTCAATACTCTATTTTATTTCTTTGAGGTTTTGCTCGATGAGCCAACCCAGATGTTGAGATCAATGAGGTTGAGTTGGTGGAGGAGCTTCCTGACATGATATGCGCAAGATCGCGATTGTCCTTGCACTATTTCTTCAGTTGATCGGTTGCCTTGGTGATCCTTTGGTGTAAGACGCACTCTTGATTCACCATCTTCTTGCTTTGCTCTATCTTGGGCATCCTCTTAGAGTCAGCAAGCACGTGTTGGGCTCCGAGAGGGGAAGGCCAAACCTCTAGTTTTGAGTCATAGGGGCTGTAAATGATTGCACAGGCATTGACATCGCACAGAGTGCTGAGTTCACTCACTTTTTTCATCAACTCCTTCTTCTTTTTTTTAATAGCTTTTCTTATAGAGTCATTAGTGATATAAGCAAGCTCAACCTTATTTCCAATCATGGTGTTTTGTCGTGTCTGGCCAAGGAGCGAGAGAGTGTTTGTATAAAATGAGACAAACATCCAATAGTTATTAGTAAGGAATGGGGAGTGGAGCATTTAATATAGTAGAATATATCATGTAAGGTAAGATGTGGTGCATTTTAAAACTGCAAGTGAAATATTCAAATTATCTCCAGAAATATTATGTCTTTAATAGGGGATATAGGAAAATCTTGTGAATTAAGGAATATAATTCACAAAATTTAATTAGTAAAATGTTGAATGGCTGCACTTATCTAAAATTATCCAATCCTGACCGTCCCTTTTCATAACAAGTTATTGATTCACTGTAATGCATTTATATACCTACTATCTCTTGCATTATCCCCAGCATGCATTCACATCTTACCTAAACAATTATGTGAGAAAATGAAATGTTATAATTAATATCAATGTAATTAATTCTACAATCCATACATAAAACTGGCTGCAAATTTAATTTTAAACAAAGTTGCTGAACTTAAGTACTTTTATATATCACTAAACTGACATATTCACAAAAAAATAAATAAATACATTCAATACATTTTTAATAGAAAATGGTTGATATCAAAAGTTAACAGATTGTATAAAAAGGTATATAGGTGATAATTCAGTTGATTTGTTAATTTTTTATATAAAATTGTGAGTAGACATGTTCTTCATTAATGGGAACTAATGTCATCCCTTAATGATTGGGCTAAAGGCAAAATAGTTCCAATTCTAGGATCTTTACTTCATTACCAACCGCCTTAATAGAAATCAATCCTCCTAAAAGTTAAATATAATTAAGGCATGATAATACTTGCAAGTGGTAATTCTCTGCCTCTAGAAAAATAAGAATAGAAGATTCGACTCTTATGTATCACAAAAATAGATATATAATTTAAAATATTGAGGTGAAGATTAATTTAAAGAAAATCATAACACAAAGTAATCTAAGTACATGAATGTATGTGACCCGACGACTATGTCTGTGAGGATGACAGCTATAACTATTATGATGACTACAACTATTTAGATGATGACTATGACGACTAAGAAACTAACAACATATCTCTATGGTGGAATTTAATTCATTAGTTAAAGTACATCCCCAATAACACCCAAAAAAATTCAAAATCAAATATCATAATTCTCAATTTCTAAGGGTAATTAAAAACACTGGACCATACAAATCCATTATTATGGTAGTTCTGATCTGTGAATGGCACCATCATCTCTACCTGTTCCTCGTTCAACCCGACATAATGCTGTTGTTGTGCTTGAGGATTCATCCCATCAACGAACTGCATTTGCGGCTGCTGTAGCGTCTGCACCATAGAATCCTCCTTGATTTGAGTGAAAGTCTCACCAGGACCCTTCATCACTCCTTTGTCTGTCACCTCCTGAGGCAAAGGTGACTTGCTGAGTGTTTCCATGCTCTTTTGGATTTCTTTGAGGTGTTGTTCGATGAGCCAACCCTAATCGTTGAGATCAATAAGGTTGAGTTGGTGGAGGGACTTCCCAGTAAGACTTTGGAACATGATATCTATTAACTCCTTTTTGCGATTATCGTTGTGCTGCTTCTTCAGTTGGTCAATTGCTTTAGTGATCCTCTAGCGCAGGAAGCTCTCCTGATTCACCATATTCTTGCTCTGCTCCATCTCAGGCATCCTCTTAAAGTCAGCAAGCACATGATGGGCTCCAAGAGGGGAAGGCCAAACATCTGGTTGCGAGTCATAAGGGCTGTAAATTATTGTACAGGCTTTGAAATCGCAAAGAGTGCTAAGTTCACTCACTTTCTTCATCAGCCCCTTCTTCATTTTCTTGAATGTTGCTTTTCTTGCAGAGTTGTTAGTGATATAAGCAAGCTTAACCTTTTTTCTAGTCATGGTATTTTGTCATGTGTGCCCAAGAGGCGGGAGGGGGTATATATAAAACGACACAACGGTTGAATAGCCATTAGTAAGGAATGGGGGCGGAGTGTTTTAATATAGAAGAATATACCACGTAAGGTAAGATGTGGTGCATTCTAAAATTGCAAGTGGAATGCCCAAATTATCTCCAAAAATGTTATGTCTTTAATAGGGGATATGGAAAAACCTTTTGATTTAAGGTAATGTAATTAAAAAAATATAATCAGTAAATTGTTGCAAGGCTGTACTTATATAAAATTATTCAATTGTGGCCATCTTTTTTAATTAAAAGCTATTGCTTCACTGTAATGCACGCATCTACCTACTCTATCTACATTATTCCCAGCATGCATTCACACTTGAAGTCAATTATACATGGCAACCACACTCACAAATATTATCTCTTAACCATCAATTAATATGGCCATCACCTTCTAATCCAACTTAATTGCATGTCTTGATGTCTTACAGTTACCGCCATTTTATTTTTTAATTCTTTTTTTAAAAGAATACAAAAATCATAGATATTTTTTTTTATATCGGAGTTCACGTTACGTACTAATAATAATTTAAATTTATACTTTTAAAAGTCAATGGTATTAGTTAGAAAGTTGTTGAACTAATAGCTGAACTCAAAAAAATACAACAGATTAATATACCATTACCTTGTAAATTAATAGGGGATTTTGTGACATTAAAATGTTTTTTTTGAATCTGTTAATGTTTGTATTTATGATAAATATGAGAAATGTATTTGATTAAATTAGAATTATCTCTTGTTTTGTACTTTGAGTCCTCGTTATTACTCTATCAAATCTAAATAAAAATAATAGTTTTTTTTAATGCTAAATTTCTACAATATATATTTGTTTTTACCCTCTCATGTCTTTTCTCTATTTTTACTGGTTTGATCATTATATTGTTTATATGATTTTTATTCAACTAAATTGGCTTATATATTTCACAACACAAGAACAAATATTAATCGCAATATATATCTATGTATATATATCATAACTAAGTTTTTATGGTATTAGAATACTGTTGGAGTGTAATTAGTAATTATGTTCTGCATGGAAAATTTTGAAATCTTACAAATTAAAGTTTGCATGTCGAGCAAATTAACTATAAACCAAGTACGGGCCAGATGTTTTTTGTCTAATCCGGTTGATATATACATATATGTGTATATATACATGTAATATATAAGGTAGCGATGGAAGGAATACATGTTGAGGTAGGTAAATATATATTGAGATGTTTGTATATGTGTTTGGAAGGGTGAGCATCTAAATTTTTATGATGTGTAGGTAAATATCAATAGAAAGAAAAATATCAACAAGAAAAACACAACTTTTGATGGTCTTGTCGTATCATGTCATATAATTAAATTTTTCGTTTATGAATTATATAATCATATATATTGCAATTCTAATGAATTATGTAACATATATATAATTAATTTACATATAGATCAATTCAAACAAAAACTATTATAATTAAACTAATTAGCTCCCTAATTATTTAATGAATCCTTTGGCATATTAACCTAGTTTCCATCAATATAGATATGGGAAGAAATTATTTCAAATTGTATACTATACATATGGTTTGATGCACTAAAATATTTTGTGTGTGTATATATTTTCTTCTATATACAATTAATGATTTAAATAAAAGATTCTGCATCCAGTATTCAACATTCAAAAAAGTGTAATATATATATATATATATACCTTCATATATAATTGCTCTCCTTTTTTACCGCCTGCCTAACTCAACTTTTAGGGAGATTCATTTTTGTTCCAAATATGTGGATTTGGAACTCAAGCCCACAATGTGCCGAAATAGTTACAGAAATATTTATTTTTATATATACAATAAATTTGCCGCACGCAAGGAACCGGATTCATAAGCACTTCCTGGATTACCATCATCGTACCACAATTATATATGCGCACCTTTTCTTTTGACTCACTTTATGCATATATATATATATATACGATTTGCTCTCTAGCTAATTATAATGATTTGCAAACATTTCATATGTAATCTTTTATTTGTTTTTATACTCTTCTAATATGGACACACTAATAATTAGTTCCCAAGTCACAACAAAGTTTTAAAGTAGCCAAAGAATTGCCTAGTATCTTCTTCGATCTTCACAAGGCCTGCAAATCAAAATTAACAATACACATATATACATGCAAGAACATATTACATTTCATTCTCTATATCTATATTTATATTAAGATCTTGTACAAGTAGACAAGAAAAGTTAAATATATATACTGATAATTTTCATAGTCCTCCTATAGCCTTAACTACCACCAATCCCCTTCATTTTCTTTTCTTCAAAGAAAAAACTCCATGTATTAGATCCTTGATGCAAGCTTGATGCCACGTTAATTCACCAGCTCAGTGAACCTGTTATAACCATAGACAACTCTAAATATCTACTCATTCTCTTAGGTATAAGTTAAAAATCAAAGAAATTGACCATATTCAACATTCTCATTAATTTACCCTCTATTAGCTTCAATTATATCCTATAAGAAAAAGTAAAAACTTGAAAAGTGTCAAATTGAGCATCATACAATAACATAAGTAGAAAAGTAAGAACTGCATGTGTAACTTTTAACAGCGATTCAATAGTTAAACAAACAAATAGAATAATCAATGTAAACCAGCATTGAGTTCTAATGGTACCTATACATACCCACTAAATAGCCTCTTTCATTGACTAGTTAGAACCAATGTTACAGCGTTGTAAACCCATCTAGAAGGCTAAAGAAATAGTCAAAACTAATAAAAAATCCTCCTATTCAATTTGATACTCTAAGATAAATACAATTCACCTTAAATCACTCCTTAGCAACTATCATCTCCTGATTCACCACTAGTCCAAAATCCTAGGTAAAGCTGTCATAAAAGCTATATTACTCACTAAAATCACCAATACTTGTCTTCTAAAGGTCTAGATCCAATTAAATCTGGATGCTTTAGAGATTCTATACCTACTTAGGCTTATTAATTCACCAAGTTATTGAAGTCTCTAAGCTTGAAGTTGAGTTTAACTATAAG